GCTGGCTGGGGGATTCTGGGAGTGGAAGTCCACCCCTCTTAAAGCATGCTGGCTGGGAATTATGGTACTTGAAGTCCACCCCTCTTAAAGCAGGCTGGCTGGGGGATTCTGGGAGTGGAAGCCCACTCCTCTTAAAGCATGCTGGCTGGGGAATTCTGGGAGTTGAAGTCCACTCCTCTTAAAGCATTCTGGTTGGGGAATTCTGGGAGTTGAAGTCCACCCCTCTTAAAGCAGGCTGGCTGGGGAATTCTGGGAATGGAAGTCCACCCATTTTAAAGCATCCTGGCTGGGGAATTCTGGGAATGGAAGTCCACCCCTCTTAAAGCATGTTTTAACGGGGGTCCGTTCTTGGAGGGGGGGACAGACACCCACCATGCACTGGGTAGTGGCTAGCATTGTCTGCTCCTGGTGGCTGGATTTCCTGGTTTAGCCCATTTCAGATCCTCTGACTTTTGTCCTGAAAAATGCAGAATCTTTCCCGATGGCGAGAGAGGGTCAGTGTATAAATTTAAGAAAGAAATATTTTTTTCTTTTCAATTGTGGGTTTAATTGTGAAGAGAGGCTGGGTGTTAAAGGAGAAGTTGTCCCCAGCATACGTCAGAAACTAGCCGGGTGTGCAACTGTGCAAAAATGTTTTTGGCGTAAAACAGGGATGTCCAACTGGGGTCAGTTTAAGACTTGTGGACTTCAATTCCCAGAATCCTCAAGGACCGCTCTAATGACAGGTAGTCCTCAACTTACGACCACAACAGAGCGCAAAATTTCTGTTGCTAAGCGAGTCAAGTGAATTTTGCCCCATTTTACGACATTTCCTGCCACGGTTGTTAAGTAAATCACTGCAGTTGTGAAGTTAGTCACACGGTCGTTAAGCGAATCCACCATCACCCCATGGACTTTGCTTGTCAGAAGGTCGCCAAAGGGGGTCACGTGACCCCCCCCCTCCCGGGGACTCTGCGACCGTCATAAATGTGAGTCGGTTGCCAAGCGTCCGAATGTAAATCACGTGACCACGGGGGGGGGTTACGGCGACGGTCGTAAGAGTGAACAAAGGTCATGTCACTTTTTCCAGTTCCGTTGTAACTTTGAACGGTCACTAAATGAACCGTCGTAAGTGGAGGACCGCCTCTTACAACCTCAGTAAGAATTCTGACTTTTAAAAAATTTCCTTTTGGGAAGAGGGATTTTTTTTTGAAGAAAAGCAGAGGGGGAAAAATCCCAGTTTTTCGCTCCGTTTCACACCCACACGGAACTAAAAGCACTTAATATTTTTTGCCTCTCCTCCCCCCCCCAGCAAAAGCGGGTTCAACTTTAGGAATGATGTAATGGGAAATAAAAATAAAAAATGCGGATTAGGGTAGAGTTGCCGTTTGATTTAAAATCCCACCCGGCTTTCCCGCATATCGGATGGCGATCTGGCCGCAGTGCCAGAAGGCAGCCAACAATCTAATCTGCCATTAGCAAAAAAACAAAAAAACCCATTCCCACAGGTGTTTGTGTCTGTGTGTGTGTGTGTGTTTTTGTGTTGAACATTTCAGCAAAGAACACAATGCGATTGGTTTCACAAAAATAAAGGAGGGACGGCCGAGAAGCAATTTTTGGTGTATACAAGCACAACTTTTGGATGAGCTGGGCGCAGTGCTCGGTAAATGGGAGTCCTTGACCTACGACCGCGGTGGAACCCAAATTTATGTTGTTAAGTGAAAAAAAATGTTAAATTGCGTTTTGCCCCCTTGGTCGGCCTTTCTTGTTGTTAAGCGAGTCACTGCAGTTGATAAATTAGTAACCTGGTCGCTAAGTAACTTTGTCGTAAAGAGGTCACAAAAGGGGATCGCGTCATAAGTGCGAGTCGGTTGCCAAGCTTGCCTGGATTTTGATCAAGTGACCACGAGGGAGGCTGCAACGATAGTTAAGTGTGAAAAACGGTCATGCCGTCGTAACTTTGGACGGTCACTAAATGAATCGTCGCAAGTCGAGGATTACCCGTAACTTTTTCCTGTTAGGGATATCGATGGTTCTCTGTCAAAAATTCAGACGGCCAGAAAGTGGACGTGAGGGTATGATGCATTAAAATATTGATCGTCGATTCCCCCTATTAAAAATGCAATCAATAAAACCACTCCAGGTGCAGAGAAAAAATGAACCGGAAAACTATGATTTTTGTTGTTGTTAATGTTTTGCACCTTATTTGTTTTTTTTTGGGGGGGGGAGGAAATGGACGTGGTTTATTTGTGCATTGAAACGACACAGGCAGTTCTCCACTTAATGGCCATTCGTTTAGCAACCGTTTGAAATGGTATAGGGTTCCTGCCTGAGCAGGGGGTTGGACTAGATGACCTCCAAGGTCCCTTCCAACTTTATTATTATTATAATATTATTATTATTATTATAAATTATGACAGTGTTGAAAAATGTGACTCACTATATGATGAGTCCTCACACTTACGACTGGTTCATCCTCTGGCCGTGAATGATTTGGGCAGTTGGAAACTGGCATGGACTTGTGACGGTTGTAGCATTCTGAGGTCACATGATCCACTTTTACAAACCTTCCCAGCTAGCATCTAACCCTAACCCTAACCCTTCCCAGCTAGCATCTGTTAAGCAAAGTCAATGGGGGAAGCCAAATTTGCTTAATGACGGTGATTCACTTAAGAACCACAGTGATACACTTAACAACCTGGCCCCAAAAAAAACCCCATCAAAAAATCGGGTTCGACTGACTCACTCAAGCCCCTTGCGCAGCAATGGAAATTCTAGTCCCAATTCTGCAGGGGTCTTCCAACTTGGCCCTTTTAGGACTTGTGGACTTCAACTCCCAGAATTCCTCAGCCAGGCACGCTGGCTGAGGAATTCTGGGAGTTGAAGTCCACAAACAGGGGTCTTCCAACTGGGCCCTTCTATGACTTGTATTCCTCAGCCAGGCATGCTGGCTGAGGAATTCTGGGAGTTGGAAGTCCACAAGTCATGCAAGGGCCAAGTTGGAAGACCCCTGTCTTAAAGCCTCCTGGCTAAGGAATTCTGGGAGTTGAAGTCCACAAGTCATCAAAGGGCCAAGTTGGAAGACCCCTGCAATTCTGGTCATAAAGTCGAGGACTACCGATTTACCGTTTTTGATGCAGTTGAAGAGAGGGGCTCTTTATTGCTACAAAGGAGCATATATCTAAATTTATTAGCAACTTTAACTTTTTTTCAGAGCTGTTGAAAAAGATGTATTTCGTTATTCCTCCTCCTGACACATTCCTTATTCTCACCATCATTTTTTTTCCTCTCTTCCCTTCATTTATAGCGTTGCTGTATAAGCCTATAAATCGAGTTACAAGAAGCACCAATGTGTTACAAGTGAGTAAAACCCCACAGGGAATTTGGGGGGGGGGGAGCGAAGGAAAGAAAGCTTAGGAAGTCCCCCAAGCTCTTTCTGATAATGGGGTGTGTGGCAAATTTAATTCAGAATAGAGCTGGAAGGGACCTCGGAGGTCTTCTAGTCCAGCCCCCTGCTCAAGCAGGAGACCCTATACCATTTCTGACAAGTGGCTGTCCAATCTCTTGGCAGAATAACAGAGTCTCTTCTTGAAAACCTCCAGTGATGAAGGATGTTACCCACAACTTCTGGTGGCAAGCTGTTCCACTGGTTAATTGTCCTCACTGTTAGGAAGTTTCTCCTTTAATTCCAGGTTGCTTTCCTTCTGGATTAGTTTCCATCTCTTGATTCTTCTCCTGCCTCCTGGTGCTTTGGGAAATAAGGGGACCCCCCCTCTTCTTTATGGCAGCCCCTCAAATACTGGAACACTACTAGACATACCCAATTCCTGCAACCGTTCTTCATATGTTGTAGTCTCCAGGCCTTGGATCATCTTCGTTGCTCTTCTCTGCACTTTTTCCAAAGTCTCAACATCTTTTCTGTAATGTGGTGGCCAAAAGTGGATGCAGGACTCCAGATGTGGCCTTACTAAGACTTTATAAAGCGGTACTAATACTTTGCGTGATCTTGATTCCATGCCTCTGGTTATACAACCCAGGATTGTGTTAGCTTTTTTGGCTGCTGCTGCACACGGCTGACTCACGTTTAAGTGATTATCCACTAGGACTCCAAGGTCCCTCTCACAGTTACTATTTTTTGAAGCCAGGTTTGACCTAATCTGTACTTGTACCTTTGTTTTTTCCTGCCCTGGTGTAAAACCTTACTTTTCTCCATGTCATTTTTTTTTTTGGGATAGGGCCCATTGTTCACATTGTCAAGATTCTTCTTGTCAATGTCCTTCCAAAACATACATGCATGCATACACAGACAAACAGATAGACAGACAGACAGACAGACAGACATGCTGTGATGGGGTCTTTATCAAACCTTGCACCCTTCCCAGCTGACTATTTGCTTTTGATTTTTTTTTAAAGAAAAGAGAAATTAGAAGTAAAGGTTATCCATAGACCAGGTGTCTTCAAATTTGGCCCTTTTATGACTTGTGGACTTCAACTCCCAGAATTCTATTCTATTCTATTCTATTCTATTCTATTCTATTCTATTCTATTCTATTCTATTCTATTCATTTCTAATCTATAAAAAGGTGTGGGTGTTTTGTTGCCCCAATGTTGCAGATTGGAGAGATGGCATTCGGCAGGTGACCCCAGGCAGCCATTTTGCAACTCAAGGTTCTCCAGTGTTTTGCAGTCTGGGAATCCCAGAATGCCCTACCAAACCAGCCCCAGAGAATTCTGGGAGATGGGCTCCTGCTAGATCAGCTGAGGGATACCTAAGTTGCCTGGGGGCTCCTTGTAAAAATGGGGCACCCCTTTTTATAGACTAATTGATAAAGAGGACAATTAGTGTGTTGCGATCTTCAAATGTGGAAGGCTTTCGGGATCTTTTATAATAAGCTTACATTCCTTCTCAACGTACGACCGCCATTGGGCGGGAACTTGCATGACTAAGCCTAAGGCAGGGGTAGGCAACCTTGGCTCTTTTATGATTTGTGGACTTCAACTCCCAGAATTCCTGAGCCAGCCACGCTGAGGGGAAAGGGAGAGGTTTCCAAGCTGAGCCATGCTGGCTCAGGAATTCTGGGAGTTGAAGTCCACGAGTCATGAAGAGGGCCATAGTTCCCCCATGCTGGCTCAGGAATTCTGGGAGTTGAAGTCCACAAGTCATTAAGGGGACCATAGTTCCCCC